TGCTCATCTTACTTGACTTTGAACAGTGTTTGGCACCTTTGTCCACTTCCTCTGTGAGAAAACACCTGACCTCCAGGATGTCAGTCTTTCTGGATTTTTCTCTTAATGCTGTTATTTCCCTGAACCTTTTTGATGTCTACTCTTATCTACCTGTTGCATCCTGGGCTTCCTTAAGGGTCCAACTTCTGGGAGGGGGGTTCTATTTTCTCCGTTAAGCATATTAAATTTAGATATGTTCTATCTACCAGTAAGTTTGTTTTTCTTTAGGGAGTTTTGTAGTTAGTGAGAGAGGTACACAGATACCAATTACAGATAAACTTTCTTACAGTTATTTGGTCAGCAGAGGAAGTATATATACCTACAGTTTCAACCAATGAGAACCTAGTACAATACAACCAGATTTCACAGTGGAAGCTTGTTTCCAGTGTTCCTCCTTCACAGGAAGGAGAGGAGTTATTATTTTATTTTATTTTTAGATAAGGTCTTTCTGTTATGTAGCTCTGGCTGTCCTGGAACTCACCATGTCCTATGTAGACTGGGAGATACACCTGCCTCTGCTTCCTGAATGCTGGGCTTGAAAGTGTGTGTACTACCACACCAGACTGACAAGAGTGGGTAGAATTCTTCAGTGTCATTCTGATAAAGCCATAAGACTTAAGTATTCTGAAAAGCTGGTTTTCGTAGTTCATCAAGTGACATTTGACCTGTCTGTACGCGTGACTAAATTAATGGCGGGGATTGGTAGAAATTAGGGCAAGTTCTGATTTTTCATTTAAAACATTTCTTCTTGGTAGAAATTAGAATTGGTAGATGAGACTCTCTTCCCTATTTATTATAGTCCAGAACTCTGCCAGGAAGTTATTCTGAGTGAACTATAGCCAGAAATATTTTCAGGGGAAGGAATTATTGAGTAAGCAAGATGTCACCTTAAACTTCTCAGTGTCGAAAGACATGCTGAATGCTTTACCCGAATAGCTGGCCCTTCCTGTTCCTCCCTGACATTCATCTATATGGACTCTGGAGTGTAGGATCTGCTCTAGTTGTAAAGGCAGAGTCTGGTGGGAATACTGGTCAGTAAGTGATAAATGAACAGATATTAGTGACTTGCTTGAGTTGAATTGAAAAGTGTTGTCATGGGGAAGTTTAAGTTTTAACATAGTTTGTTTTCAAGTGGGGTTAAAATAATATTGCAGTAGGTATTTCCCATTACAGCACAGGTGAGATCTTTTCATTTGCAGCCTGCCTCCAATCTGTGTGTGGAACAGAAGAAATTAGGAACTGTCCCTTTAATAAAACACTGTTTACCTATCCTCCTCTAGTGGGCGTGGCTTAGGAACCTGTGGAGTGAGGTGTGACTTCAGCTGTGCATTCCGACCAGCCCCTCCGAAAGAGGGCTGGTGCTCCCAACCCGGAAGCCACAGCTGAGGCTTCCAACTGTACTCGAACTTGGCTTTTACATGGCTAAGTGCCTTACAGCAGAACAGAAAATTGAAGTAGCGATTTTGCTTAGCTGTTATCGAAATTTTGAAGCTCTACAGTGGATAAAGACTTCAGAGAATACTTAGAATACAAAGCTTTCTGGGCCAGAAATTGATCCGCTGACTTTGAGTCCTATCGCATTACTGCTTGGTTCATCTTTATTTTGCTCAAGTATCTGCAGGCTGACCCCGGATCCGCATCTTTGCCGGTAGGTGGTCAGCTTTCGTGTAATATTTGGGTCATTTTTTTTGGCCTAAGTTTGGCTGCTAAATACTGAAAAAGTTGTGACTATCAGGCTGAGTATGTTTGAACAGTGTGATTGTCAATAGCCACGCTTTTATGACAGCTGGACAACCTTGCAAAAATAGTCATTAAAAAAAAAAAAAAAAACACAGCAAATCTACATCACCATGAGTTAAATGAGTCTTATTTTGTTCTCCATTAACCAAGTATGTATTTACATTTAACTAATGGATCAAAATATATGTTGAAATTACCTTTCTAATTAACTTAAATAGTATTTTGTTCTTAGTATTTTACTCGAAAGTTACCTTTCTTTCACCATTAGGAAGCCGAGTGTTCACCGTTGATTTGTTGTTTGCTTTAGTTTTTATCTTTAGAAATGTCTGTTATTTAAAAAAAAAAGTTTTTGTGACAGGTTAATAATCGAACACAGGTGTGCAGAAAAATCATCTTCTTCTGGTAAAACTAAGCACCCTTTTATGACATGAAAAGTGTTTCAAAGATGATGTTTTGAAAGACTTAGTTAATTCACAGTATGAATTATTGCTATGAAAACAGAGTCTACCCAGAATCTCTGGGGTAGAAGTCAAGTTCCTTTAGGACCAAGGACAGTAGTTCCTTAACTGTCAGCAATGGGCCTTTGTATTTTTCTTCCCTGGATATTCTGCTTCAGAAGACTTCATCCACTAAGAAGACAGCTTTAGTAAACAGTGAACATTACAAATGTTCTGTTTTCTAGATGTGTTATTTTCAATTAGAGTTGGCCAACCTGAGATTTCCACTCTGTGTTAATATGATCAGCTCCGAGCAAAGAGGCTTGTCTTTTTTCAATTATCTCGACTCCTTTATTGTAGTTATTTGGCAGGATAATTTTTGACATTTTGAAATGTGGATAATGACATCTGAATTGTCATAAAGCGTTCTGTGGTCGTCTGGTCATCTGGACTCAGCAAATAGCGGTGGAAAGCACAGGTTTCCTTTTCAGCTCCTGGTTCCATGAGCTGTAATGACGCTCATCTAGTGAATCAAGGATGTACAGCTGCTGGCAGAGGCGCCCGGAGAAAGGAAGTGGTGTTTGCTGTAGGGAATATCAGGCCTGGATTTAGGGCATTCATACATTTGACCCCATTAAATATTTTTATAGTCTATTTCCTAACTTTAAAACAGTTCTCCAGTTGGGCTAACCAATGAAACACTAGCTTTGTAACAAACATTACTTACAGTCATGCATTGCCTCTCCATTTACGTGTTGGTTGCCTTCTCCCCATCTCTTTTCTTTTCTCCTTCCCCACATCCATCTTTCCTTCCTCTTACCCAGAAGCCCTTCTCCACCATGGAGCTTCATCTGGCCAGCCTGGTCCTCAGAAATATTTTCTTCTTTCTCTCTTCCCTATCCCATTGAATCTACCAGCCCATTAGCCCATGATCACTTGTGTCCTCTTTAATTGTGCCCTACGTCACTTGAAATATATTAGAAGGACTTGATGCAGAGATTGTTTTATACCCGTAGAATCTAGTGCGGTGCCACACATTCCGTTCCCCATAAATAGCTGTGGAATGGATGAAAGATCTTGTTGACAGTTGCTTCAAGTACCACGCTGTCTCTCTCTTGTCTTGTTTAATCATATAATTAACTGTAATGCTTCTAGGATCCAGTCTGTTAGTTACTAGAAAGTGATGTTTTTGTTTTGCTGTACAGTTTACAGCTTGCTATATTTGGTGATTAAGTTGTTTTCGTTTTGTTTTGTTTTGTTTTCTTGAGACAGGGTTTCTCTATGTAGACCCAGCTGTCCTGGATCTCATTCTGTAGACAAGGGTGGCCTCCAACTCACAGAGGTCCACCTGCTTCTACCTCCTGAGTGCTGTGACTAAAGGTGTGTGCCACCACAGCTTGCCATGATTAAGATTTTTAAAAAATTTCTCTCTCTCTCTCTCTCTCTCTCTCTCTCTCTCTCTCTCTCTCTTTAAATCAGCCCTTTGATAAAGCTGTTTCAGTTACCAGGGAGTTACAAAGCAGGAGTCCAGAAGGGAGTGTCAGATCCCTTTGGAGCTGGAATTCCAGGTGTTTGTGAGCCGCCTAATTTGGAGCTAGGATCTAAACTTTGGTCCTCTGATAGAGCAGTCAGCCCTTGAAACCACGTAGCCATTTCTCTGCTGTATTTGGTGATTTTAACTCTGATATGCTATCTATATGCAAGCTGGACCTTATTAAAAGTAAATTAGTACTCTGAAGGTGGTTTTCTTGCATTCTCTATTTTAGGAAAATATAGAATTCATTGGTGTACAAAGTTCTAAAAATGCTTAAAATATTCAGATACAGTATTGATTAAAAGTTTCGATTCTGAGCTGACATTTAGAACTCTGAATGGTGATCATAGGTTGTGTGGATTTTAGATCAGTAATTGCTAGGAATGATAAATAACCTACTTTTATAAAAAGAACACTTTAAGCATTTTACTTCCTGTTGATAATAGCTATTTTTATTGCATAATTTGAAAACCCTCCATTTTCTAATTGGCATGTGCCTTTTAGTCCCAACTGGTTTGGAGAATAGCTTGAGCCCAGGATCGGTCTGGGCAGCACGGTTAAACTCCATCTCAGGGGAAACATTATAACTGTTTATCCATTTCTTGTATTAACTCTTTATTTACTAAATTTTTGTCTGTATATAGGCCTATGCACCACTTGTTTGCCTGAGATGGTCAGAAGATCCCTGGAACTGGAGTTATACATGGTTGTAAGCCACCGTGTGGGTGCTGGGAGTCAAACCCAGGTCCTCCAGAAGAACAACCAGTGCTCTTATGGAGCCATCTCTCCAGCCTTCCTGTATCAACTGTATTTGTGTTTTTTGAGATAGGCTCCCTGTGTGTAACAGCCCTAGCTGTCCTGGAACTCACTCTGTAGACCAAGCTGGCTACGAACTCACAGAGCTCTGCCTGTCTCTGCCTCCCAGAGTGCTGAGATTAAAGGGGTGCACCACCACCTGTTTCAAGTCTTATTAGATGGTCATAATTAACAATTCTTTTGCAGCCCTGGGAATTAACCTCAGAGCCTTGTGGATGCTACACATCTCTTTACTATTAAGCTATATGCCCAGCGCTTATCAACCCATTTTTATAGAAAACAGAAAACAGAGGGACAAATAGGCCAAAAATTTACCACAGCCACACCTTGAATGCTCTTGCCATGCTTGCTTTGACTTTGCCCTTTGTGCTTTGAATTGCTATATGTTATCTGTTGTATTTTCCAATACACATGCAATGTTTCTGTTATCTTAGAGCCTGACCAGACAGGAGTTCTGGCAACTGCTGCAGCAGAACTATGGCACGGAACTGGGTTTAAATGCTGAAGAAATGGAAAACTTGTCATTATCAATAGAAGAAAATGTGCAGCCAAGGTACAGTGAGGTGACTTAAAATGTCAAGGTGCATTATGAACCATTAAAATGGAATTATTTTAGGTTCTCCTAATTTTGAGTTTCTATTAATTTATCATTTTGGTGCAGTTTGCCTTGTTGGTGGAGTAGGGTTTCAGGTAGGAGAGAAGAGAATCATGTACTAAATTGGTAAGCAGAAGTGAAGGCATATTGATGAAGCCATGACTCTTAAGACTTGCTTCATTTTAGAAATCCCTTTTATGAAGCATCTGGAGTAGGAACTGGGGAGGTCTCTGAGCTATAGGAGACACTGTAAGTGCAGAGTATGAGTGGTTTCATGACTTCTCGAGGACTGGCTAGCATAGTGACCTGTGCTTGGCACTCAGTAAGCATTGACCACATTAGTGAAAGGAGATGGCAGTGCGGTGGGGACAAGAGCAGTGATAATACAGGGGTCAGGTGGTGCTACACTGTGAGGAAGAAATTATTAGAGGCAGACCATGTTGACATATATTCATGAAGAAGTGTGAACATTTTATAAACTGTGCAAGTAAAAATGTGCCTTATTCAATGTTAATTGAGGCCACAGCAATAAAAACAAGGGTAATACATTAAAATTTCTATAACAAACATGCTGCTTAGTTTTAGAAGCCAAGACTCAAAGACTAGATCTTGACGGGTTGTGAGTCTAGCCTTTATTGGCTGAGCCATCTATCTCTCCAGCCCTCCAAATCTTATGTAAATATGTTGAAAGTCTTAATACATACACAAATGTTTCCTCCTCTGGGCAGTCTTCTGTTCTGCTGCTCCAACCTATATTGTCTCAGCTTATATCAATATTTTATAGTCTTTTTTTTTCACATGATTGCACATGCATATTTTATCACTTTTCCATAAAGTTTAATTTTTTCCCACTGCAATGACATCATAAAGTTTACTAGTCTCGGGTATCAAAACTGTATGAAAAGCAGCTTCCTAGTGCAGAGAACCTTGGATGGTGGTCAATAAGATCTGGGCTGTGGCTTATAGCTGAGATATCTCATGCAAATCTTTGGACACTTCTGATGCTTGGTTTAATCATCTGTGAACATGAGGCAGTTAGATTCAGGGGCTTTACAGTTTTGCCAACTTGTGATCTTTCTAGCAAAAGCTGCATTCTCCTGGTGACCGTTTTCTAAGAGAACATGTAGCAGGTTCCTCATGCTTTGTTCTCTCTTTGTCTGAAAACAGCACACCCGTTTCAATCCTATATTTCCTCAGCTCTCCATATTCTTTTCTCTAGTGTCATATTTGCTTTCCCTCTGTTCCTTTCCTCTCTCTGTTCTTGTATCCATCCTTCTTAAACTCTGGAGATTGCTATACTCACATGGTAAGCTATTTCAAGGATCCATACTTCCTTTTTCTCTTGGTCCCTACTGAGCTCCACTGTTCTGCCTATCAAGGAGTGAGCTGGCTGCCAGTCTACTAACCATTGTTTGGGCAGAGTTAAATAGGGCTTGTGCTGATGAGTTTTCTGTCAACTTGGCACAAGCTAAAGTTATCTGAGAGGGGGTTTTTAGTTAAGGTGCTTATTGCTGTGAAGAGACACCATGACCACAGCAACTCCTTTTTGTTGGTGGTTTGTTTGGTTTTTTGAGACAGGGTTTCTCTGTGAAACAGTCCTGGCTATCCTGAGACTTACTTTTTAGACCAGGCTGGCCTTGAACTCACAGAGATCCACCTGTGTCTGACTCCTGGGTGCTGGACTTGAAGGCATGTGCCACCAATGCCCGGACCACAGCAACTCTTATAAAGAAAACAGTTCTTTCTTTTTTTCTCTTTCTTTCTTTCTTTCTTTCTTTCTTTCTTTCTTTCTTTCTTTCTTTCTTCCTTCCTTCCTTCCTTCCTTCCTTCCTTCTTTCTTTTCTTTCTTTTTTTTTTCAAGACAGGTTTTCTCTGTGTAGCTCTGGTTGTCCTGGAACTGGCCCTGTAGACCAGACTGGCCTCAAACTCACGGAGATCTGCCTGAGATTAAAGGCATGCACCGCCACAGAGTTGGCTTACAGTTTAGAGGTTGAATCCATTATCATCATGATGGTGACGCTGGAACAGATGAGAGTTCTACATCTTTCAGGCAATAGGAAGTCGGCTGACCAACTCACTCTTCCTCCAACAAGGGCACTACTCCTAACAGTGCCATTCCCTTTGGGGGACATTTTCTTTCAAACCACCATAGGAGGGAACTTCAATTAAGAAAACGCCTCTAAGCAGCCAGTAGCCTGAGGAGCCCACAGTACCCTTAGGGACTTCACCTCAGGTCCAGCTGAATCCTCATCACAGAGAAGAATTTCAGGACAAACCAGAATAAAACAAGTTTATTAAGTAGATATGGTGATAGGAGCAAGTACATGCTTAGATAGAAGCATGGGTTGTGGGGGGCAAAAAGAAAGACCTACCTTTTAGGAAAAAAGAACACATGTAAGACATGGGTGTGGGGCTTCTCAAGAGAGTCATGCTTAGTCTTCTTTGTAGTGGATACATGTATTCATACTGTCATTTAAAAAAGTTATACTGTTTAAAGGGCATATATAATTCATTACAAAGCTTAAAGATGAACAAAGTGTAAAAGCTAAGCTTTAGAGATCAAGTGCGAAGATATGAGCTGGTTTACTTATTTCACTTAAAGAATTTTCTTTTGTTAAAAGAAACTCTAATGTGACTTTATGTGGTGTGTTGCTTAGACTCAGGGATGAGAGGAATGTTGGCACAATTAAGCCTCAGGCCATAAACATTCTCATCCTAACTAAACATAGATGGTTGTTTGTTTGAACGGCCTTGTTTGAGATGTCTGTAGGAAAACTAGTATTTTCTTTGCAGGCAGTCTTTTGTTTTGTTTTGTTTTTTGAGACAAGATTTGTGTAGCCCTGGCTGTCCTGGAATTCAGCCAGCTCCATAGACTAGACTGGCCCTGAACTCAAAGAGATCTGCCCCCCTCTACCTCCTGAGTGCTGGAATTAAAGGTGTGCACCACTACATGAGGCTCTTTGCCAGCAGTTTTGCTTTTGTCCATTTGTTTTGAAGTTTCTTGACACCCAGCTAGAAGGAAATACAAACTAGATCTCAGCATGAGGGGCCTATTTCCCTTCCCACTTTCCCCCATTTTTGTATCCAATGTCTTTGTATCTAGCCTTAGCCTGACTGATGACCATTGCATTCAGACATGAGGAGCTTGTGCCTCCTAGAGGGCCTGGCGGCCTCCACTGAGAGTACATCAGAAGCAAGACTTGTAAGACTGACTTCAGGTGCCAAGTGGCATCTGACCCAGACATCTTCCTAAACTTTCAGAGCTCTGTGGTTTTATACCTCGACCTTAAACAAGCGTCCGATTGGCTACTGCTGGGGCAACTTGTATTTCATTATACTTTTAGTCGTCTCTGAAATGTGTGGATTTGCATAGGAGTATATGTTTTATTTTCAAGAATGAAGTCAGCTGATGTTTCTAAGAGGATAGCTTGTTATAACAGGAGCTGGTTACAGCATAACAATCTATTGTTTGTTGAGATGATTTGTTAGACTTGCAAAGACCTCAGAGAGGAGCACCGAGGATTGTGTGCCTGGATGTGACCTTCTGCTTCCCTAATGCTGTGTTTCCTACAGAAGTCCAGAAAGAAACAGTGTGGATGACTCTGGGGAAAGAGATGAAAAGTTCTCCAAGGCCATCAGCTTTACACAGGAGTCAATTAGCCGAGTTTCAGAAACCGAGTCCCTGGATGGAAACTCACCGAAGAGAGTTAGTATCTGCTGTTCCCTAAAACCCACACCTACATGAGAGCAAGTAAAAAAATGCAATGTATTAGAAATGTTGAAAAGCTTAGACTGTCCAGCTGCTGCTTTGTTTTAGAAAAAGAGTATGTATCTCTAAGTAGCAGACGTTATGTGGGGAAAGAATGTGGTATTCTTCAAAGATAGCTAAGGTGCAGGCCCCTGAGCAACATGTTAAGACACTACTAATACTTCTTAAAATATAACAGGACCCAGAAATCTGTAGTTGGCAGAATTTCCCCATGTGAAGGAAATGCATGTGGTGGAGACAGTCTGTTTCAAATAGGGAGAGACAGGCCTTTGAGCATAGCTGGGTCACAGAGGACACATCCATTTCTTTTTAGTAGAAACTCCTTAGGTAACACATTAAAAATGACAGTCCAGCTAGTGACTGGCTTTTCAGTTAGCTGGTGAGCTTCAGTTTTTTCAAGTGTCATAAGTCTAAGTGGTCTACAGCACTAGTTCTATAACAGCCACGGCTACACAAAGAAACCCCGTCTTGAGAAAAAGAAAGGAAGGAAGGAAGAAAGAAAGAAAGCTATTAAGGTACTGAGAACAATTCCTAGCATTCACTGAGTGTCCTAAAACCATTGGCTGTTGTAATTGAAAGTGAGCCTGCATGTAGTTAGTAATGGTTCTTTTTTAAGACACCTTTGGGAAAATACTGACATAGAATTTATTCATGTGAAAGGTCCCTGAACTCTACACTTGTTTTAGACAATCATCCTTCATCATACCTCTATGTCAGCCTACTTTTATAAAACTTGTTCAGTATAAGTTTTATAAACATGGACACTTAGGGATCTAGTACTGCACAAGGATTGTCATTCTGGAAGTTAATATTTACATGTGAAACACTCAGTTAGGGGAGGTAATAAGATGGGGGACTTGTTGCAGTCTCATTACCCATTTATCAAAGTCCATCTTTGAGGAGTGGGTTCTCAGGACTTTAGTCTGTCTTAGTCCTTTCCACTTCCTCAGTCTTCTGTGGCTCCTCTTGGAATACTTAGTCTGTTGGATCTTACCTTTAGTTATGTCCAAAAATAAGTTGCCTGTTCTCTTCATGGTGAATGGGATGTAAAAGAGTGCAATAGACTGATTACTTACTTGCTGATGTTTAGGACAGAGGTTTTCGGCTTTGGAAGCTGGGTCTTTTCCCCAGGAGCATTATGGTGAGACTCTCCGATTTCAGAGGTCAGCAAATGGTGTCCATCTTTCACTTTGTTTGATGTTTTACTGTCATCAAATTGAAAATAACAAAAAAAACCCAGAAACAACTGTTTTCCAATGGAAACATGCTCATTATAAAATTAATATTCCTTGGAAAATACAGGAAAATATCTGGAGATAAAATCAATACAGATGCCAACATTTGTTACCTTTCATGTAGGTATCTTTATTCCTATAATAGGAAATACAATTTAGTTAATGGGAGAAATATATGTGTGGAGCTCTGCTCAGCTGTTTGAGAGGCCCTGGGTCTGCTAAGTAACCATAATGCTTTCTCCTGTGGAACTCCCAAATGCATCACCTCTTGATTTTAGCTGTAGTCTGCTCTGCTTGAAGAGTCAGTTCTCTGGGTAGGGTAGTGTAACTCATTAGTAAGATGTATCCTGGGTTCCACTTACCACCCAGCTTCCCCATTGGCCAGTGGAAACCTGTGTCCTCCCTAGAGCTGAGTTCAGGACTAGGCAAGCATCTTCTAGGGCAGAAAGGAGAAGGGCTGGATGCATGTTTTGTGCTGTCTTTTGTCGGTGTACACACAGTACAAAACGGAATTTTTCTGTATAGCTAATATAGATTCTTTTTTTTCTAATATAGATTCTTTACTTATCTTACTAATTATAGTTAGTTCTATTTGAGTTATAACATAGCAATAACACTTTTATTTAATGTCTGTCATTTTTTTAATGTCTGTCATTTAATAATGACATGTCCTTATTAAATATGCCCAGAAAGTATACATGTCAAATTTTGGTATATTTTAATATTTTTATCTCTAGGACCAGTTTGCTATGAACTCACTCCTCTCCCCACCACACTCCTAGGTGACTTACTTCTATCTCTCTATTTTCTTTCCATTTCTATTTTAGTTATTGATTTTGAGAGATGGGTGAGAAGTGGACACCAGATAAATAAACAAACAGGGTTTGACCTCTCTCCCTTACCCACCCCAAAGGCCTGATTGTTTCTTATTTTTGCCTTCTGTCCCTTCCTTTCCCTTCCCTTCTGCTTTAGCTGCTCACAAGCTAATACCTTTCTTTGAATCCCTTTTACATGGTTCTCTTCATAAATGTGTCATTCATACTGCATGAGAACACCTCAGGGAGGACCTATATTATCTCTATGTCAAGGGTAGCAGTCAATCTTAACAGAATGCTTTAGATATTTTTCAAAAAACATCATTTCATGTCTTTACTCTTAATATTTACTATTAAAGTTTTTACTGTGAGACCTAAGCTTAAATAAGTTATTTTTGTTTGTTTGTTTTTACTTTTTAACTGAATTGTTTGTCTTTTAGGGATTAGGAAAAGAAGAGTCCCAGAGTGAGAAACATTTGAAAAAAAGCCTTTCACTAGTTTCAGAAAAGAGGTTAAGTAGAACGCCCTCCAAATCACTGGACTTGAATAAAAATGAGTACCTTTCTCTGGACAAAAGCAGCACTTCAGATTCTGTTGACGAAGGTAAAGAATTTAAATCTTAACAAAATTCCAGGCATGTCTTCTAATGTTTACCCTTGTGTTAGGTGTGTGCAGAGTGAGAGTTTGATTGTGGCAGCCTCACACTATAGGGAACCAGAAAAGGAATAAATGCATATAGAACACAGGAGAAGAACTTGTCAGTCTGGCCCATCTGCGTGTCTCTCAAAGCCTGGAATTTGAAAGTCTCCATTAGGTTGGCTTAGAATTCCAAGCTTTCAGGAATAGCAAGCCAGGGCACAGTGAGATATCTCTGGACCCAGCTTTGGTGGCCATGGTGTGCAGGTCTGTACTCCCAACAACAGAGGTCTCACTGGCCAGGCAGCCTAGCCTAATCAGCAAGGGCCAGGTCCCAATGAGAGACGAGACCATGCCTCAAAAACTAAAGGAAGATGTCTCCTGAGGAACAACACTGCAAGTTGTCCCCTGGACTTTACAGATAACACACACACACACACACACACACACACACACACACACACACACACACACACACACACACACAGATTTAAACACACACACACACACACACACACACACACACACACACACACACACAAACAAAGCTTTCATTGCAGTGGACACAGTGAAAAGCAAGTCTGTATGCTGTTCCAGCAGACTACACACACACACACACACACACACACACACACACACACACACACACACACACACACACACACACACACACACAAACAAAGCTTTCATTGCAGTGGACACAGTGAAAAGCAAGTCTGTATGCTGTTCCAGCAGACTAAATGGGGTAAGATGGTCCCATTGTTAATGTATTTATTTAGAGAAAGATGAAATCAATGGGTTTTTAAACACATGTAGCTAGTTAACTGTACTGAGGCTGGGTTGAGGATAAGACCTTTGAGACCTGTGTTCTTTTCACTTAACCAAAGGAGTTCCCAAGTTATTGCTATTATTATTATTCTTGGAGCTAGGTTCTCACTGTGTGGTCTTGGATGGCTGGGCTGTAACTGACTTTTTAGTCCTGCCGAACTTAGACCCTCCTGCCTCTGCCACTGCTGGGATTAAAGGCATGAGCACTGTGTCCAGAACTTCCCAAATTCTTCTTTCTCTTCTTTGTAAAAAAAAAAGACATCTGCTGGGTGTGGTGGTGCACAACTGAATCCCAGCATTTGGGAAGCAGAGGCAGGAGGATCTCTGTGTGTTTGAGGCTAGACTGATCTACATAATGAATCCCAGGCTAGCCAAGACTCATAATGACACCCTGCCTCAAACAAACATCTTAGCAAAGGCTCTGCAAGACTGATTTTACACTACCCCCCCCCACACACACACACGTGCGCATGCACACACACAGAAGATTATTATTCTACTTTGTATGGGTGAAGTTACATGCTTTTGACTATTGTTTTTAGATTATTTTCGAGAAATATTTAAAAATAACTTTAAAGGCAGACACATGGTCACATCCTCACAATTACATCTGAACTGTTTCTATTAAAATCAATATCCATTGAATTTTTAATTTTGTTTTGTTTTGCTTTTTGAGACAGAGTTCTTCTGTATAGCCCTAGCTGTTCTGGACCTAGCTCTGGGGACTAGGCTGGCCTAGAAATCACAGACATCTCCTTGTCTCTGCCTTCCAAATGCTGGGATTAAAGGTGTGTGCCACCACTGCCTGGCAAATTTTTAAAATTTATTTTCAAATCACATTTCTCCCTTCCTTCCTTCCTTTTTTTTTTTTTTGGCTAATCTGGAACTCACTTCGTAGGACAGATTGGCCTTGAAGTCAGAGATCCACCTGCCTCTGCCTCCTCAGTGCTGGAACTAACCACTGCCCAGTTCAAATCACTTTTAAAGAACATTCTGTAGTTGAAATATTTTTACAAAGAAAACTGCTAATACTAGTCTACATGGTGTTTAAAAATAACTCACAGAGCCAGTGATGTGGCCCTATGGGTAACAGTACTTGCCATTGAGCCAAATAGCTTTAGTTCAGTCCTTGGGATCCACATAATGGAAGGAGAAATAGACTCCTGCAAGTCTTCCTTTGGCCCTACATATGTGCAATGACCCATGTACCCTCCCCACAATAAATAAAGGAAATGTAAAAAGTAAAATGTCATTTGAATTTAGAAAACTAATAGATTTAGCTAGACTCTAATGATGATGAATAACCAGAATCTTTACTGAAAGAAAGGCCTTCTGGGTATCAAATGTGTTATACTCTGGCTGCTATTTTTATTGTATGCTGTATATTGTTACATGGGCTCAACAAATAGCATCCTTCCTGATATCCCTACTGTAATAAAATTGGGAAAAGAAACTAAAATTGGGAAAAGAAACAAAGAGCAAGTCAGAGGGACCAAAATAGTACCCTTTGCAGTGATGGTGGCCAAGTAAGAGGAAAATCCACTTACATGTGCCAGAGGTAACAAGGCTGGGCTGAAAATATGTATGAATTACTCATAAGTCAAGCCAGCTGCTCTCCCCAGAGGAAGAGGTGAGACCAGCCATGGAACAGCAGCAGCTGCTGAGGGTACCTAGGCTTCATGAAACATGACAGCCATGAGGCTTCATGAAACATGACAGCCATGTGCCAAGCCTGCCTGGTATGCCCCTTCCACGATTATTCATGATATAGGCAGCGTGGGCTGCCACGAAAGATAGATACTTCCATTCACATAGGTCAGACGAGAACAATGTAATTCCTTACAGTTCTATAGTGCAAAAGTCACAGGTCAGGCCCAGCAGCATTGCTTTCTGGTGAGGACACTCTCCTGGCTGTGGAGAGCTAGATACCTTTGTGCTCTGTCCTCAGTGTATGCCCAGGAGGTGGGACAGGAGGAAGAGGGTAGCAGGGGATATTTGAGGATATAACAACAATAACAACAATAGCAAAGATGTCTATGGGCAACTTAGCAAGCCAAGCTCCCTACTTTCTCTAAGTATGTCATATTACACAGTAGGTTTTATATTAAGTCTTTCCTGAAAATACGAAGATCACTGGCATCGAAGTCAGTATAGTAGGCATGATGGGAATGATGGGTGTTATGGCCTTACTTTAGGATGTGAGGGCGTGAATTAGGCATGTGCTGGCTTCCTGACTGAACTTGGAACTCTAGGAAGATCTATTCTGGCACCCAGTGGCCAAATAGGCAAGTGACAGCAAAACAAGGAACTATTTTCTCTTTCATTAAACCTACTCTTAAGAATTGTCTTAAAAAGTCATTTCATTATTGAGTTCCTGGAACAGTCACATTAAAACTCAAAGGCTGCACACACACATCTAGGAATAAGGGAAAGATGAGAGTGTGTAGTTACTGTACTTGGGCCCTGGTCACTCTGTGATCCTTACTGGTGCCTCTTTAAAAACTGCTTGCTTTGGCAGTGAGCAGTTACACGGTGTTTTCCCTAAAGTGTCCTTAAGATATAAGAGTGAGTTTTTCTTGTTTGTTTGTTTCTGAGACAGGGTTTCTCTGTGGCTTTGGAGGCTGTCCTGGAACTAGCTCTTGTAGACCAGGTTGGTCTCAACTCACAGACATCCACCTGCCTCTACCTCCCAAGTGCTGAGATTAAAGGCGTGCGCCACCAACACCCGGCTAAGAGTGAGTTTTTCTTAATAGATTATATTAGATAATAATTTGGGTGATCCCACTGTTTTCCCTAAATGTGTTTCAAATATCAGGCTCATCATAACTTTCAAATGAGTATAAAGATGACTCTGTTTTTCTCTTTTCTCGAGGTTGTAAAATAATGAAGCCATTGGCAGGAAATGATCTAGGTAGAAAATGAGAAAGATCAAATGAAGTCGACCAAGCTGGGAGATTGGAGAATGATGTGGAAGGCTAAAGGGAGATGGCTGGGTGGGGCTCTTTTTAAACCAAACATTGCTTAGGTTTGCTGGCACAGGGTCTTACTGTGTAGCCCTGGCTGTCCTGAAACTGGTCATATTGCTCAGGTTGGCCTTGGGCATCCAGGGTCCCTCCTGCCCTCTCCCGAGTGCTGGGATTATGTTTACACCACCATGATAGAAAAATGAGAAAATCCTGCCCTGCCTTTCATATCACAATTCTGGGGAAGGAACACTGGGTTATTTTGACATAGAGATTCACTCTAGAATCACAAGTCCCTGACAAAACCAACTAACACAGAATATGGTGCTACTGTCTCATGGAGGGAATCCAACTCAATCCTTACCTGTCTAGGACACTGTTCTGCATCCTCAAAACAATGGCAGTGTATGTTGTGAGTTTCATGTTACTGTGTTCCCCCTTTAGTCATCTGCCTCATTCCAAATGATTTCTACTGATACTTTAAAAAAATGTTTTCAAATATGTGTATTTGTGTATGTGTGTGCATGAAACTGCTGGCGTGCACAAAGGTAGCAGGTCCTTGTATCTCCTGGAGCTAGAGTTACAGGTGGTTGTGAGCTGCCCAAAGTGGGTGCTGGGATCCACATTTGGGTTCTCTGGATGAGCAACCACCTCTCCAGTCCCTTAGCTGGTATTTTTGAAGCGTTTTTTTTTTTTTCCCTATATTGACAAAAGTACCCTGCTCCTGAGTTGAGCAGTGTCCTCTCTTCATTTAAAAAGAACCACCTGTCAACTTTCTATGCAACAGCAGTATTATTGGTATTGATCTTTGGAGAATATTGAAATGTCAAGAATATCATAAATGAGTAACCTAACCCAGGAACAGTTCATTTCATTTATTTATTTCCTTGAGCAAATTTCCATGCAGAATATATTATTAATTTCTGATACTGATACAGTAAATTGCACTTTTATCAGTCATAATTCAGAATCTATCACCTAACGAGCTTAGGAGAAGTATGAACGTACTATATAGAAGAATGTACACAAGTGTAATCTTTCCATTTTTAATATGAATAAAAAGCTCACTTTTGAAAAGTTATAAAATAGGACCCCTTAAGAGAAATGCTTCTAGGTGTAGAGAAAATATCAGATGTGCTTGGCCTAATTGTGTTCAACTTCAAAAAATCTGCACAGCAAAAGAAAATCAGTAGAGTGGTAAGACATCCTACAGAATAGGAGGAAGTCTTTTTCATACCCAACAGCGATTACTATCCAGAAAATATCCAAAAATTAAATAGCCAGAGAGCAAGTGATTCAGTTAATGAATGGACAAATGAACTGAAAACCACTTTTCCCATTAAAAAGTACAAATGGCCAATAAATACACATGAAAATCTTCTTAGCTCTTGGGGAAGGCTACTTTGATGGGTTAGCGAGTGGAGCTCATTTGCTAGAGTGCTTGCCTAGCACATTCCCCAAGCCCTGGATTTAGTTCCCAGCCTTGCATAAAATAGGACATGGTGACACAGGCCTGCAATCCTAGTAACAGGGAGTCAGAGGCAGAAGGTTCAGAAGTAGGAGGTCATCCTCGGCTACATAGTAAGTTTGAGGGCAGCATGTGCTATATGAAACTGCCTCAAAGAAAGAAACAAACAAAAAACCAGGCAAACACTACCCCACCCCAAACCCAAACATCCCAAAATAATTACATTGAGATTCCATCTCACCCCAGTTGTAATGGCTATCATCAAAAACACAAGCAAACAAACCCCAACAGATATTAATGGGGATGTAGGAGATACAGAATTCTTATGCATATATAATTCGTCTTTTCAGGGGTATACGCCCCCTCAGATAAAAGCCAGAGCTGCTTATAGCATCCCTTGCCTGCTCAGGGTTATCATTGCATCATTCTCAACAGCCAAGAGCATTAATCCTAACAGTGTTCTTTCCCCCTAACCCACTATTCTAGTGTATTCATGAAAAACAGCAAGCAAGCCCACATTGAAAATCATGTAAAATAACCGACAAGTGCTCTTCAGGGCTCAAGGGCATAACTAAGAAGCATAAATTATGAGAAGGCATGATTAGAACCCCAGATTAGAGACAACTAAGGAGATATTATAACTAAAATATTATAATGTAGCATTTTGGGTTGGATTCTTTTTTTTTAAAGATTTATTTATTATGCATACAGTGTTCTGCCAGCCCTCCAGAAGAGGAATCAGATCTCATTACAGATGTTTGTGAGCCACCATGTGGTTGCTGGGACTTGAACTCAGGACCTCTGGAAGAGCTGCCAATGCTCTTACCCTCTGAGCCACCTCTCCAGCCCTGGATTCTTTTATAGAAAGAATTTTCTGAAGAAATTCTATTGAATCACCTATATCTGTTTGCTTCCATTGTGAATATTTGTGTTATTTTTTATCATGAATATATAATACTTCTGTGTTAGTGAAAGCCTTTTCCCAAGCCTAGCAGGAAGGCTATCTTACAGAACTTTAGCAAATTGCCTAATTCCAGTGATGATTTCTACACCCAAGGAGCTCTTTGGAATTTCAGTGAATTGTTCGGCCTATAAATAGTGTTTTTACAAGAAGAGGGTAAATCTGTAGCTACATGGCATTTGAAAATTCTCTACACACAAATCAATAGTGAGGGAGCGAGCAATAGTGGTGGGGGAAGGGTTAGATGCTTTTCTGGTTTGTAGACAATGCCTTTTGTTTAACCACACTGATTCCTGTAGGTTAATATTGACAGATGCTTCTCACAGGTAACCCTTGGAGCTTGGTTTCTGATGTTTGAAGCTCTTGTCATTTTTTTTTTTTTTTTTTTTGTGTGTGTGTGTGTGTATTGGTGGAAAATAAGGCTTGAGATAATAACTAGTCAACTAGTCACTGTCTTCAAATCATTAAAAATTTGTGTTATGTTGTTTCCGCTATTTCCATTACATATTAGGCTTCTATTCCTGCCTCTTTCCTTTCTATTTTTCCTTTTTTAAATATATATAGTCTTTTCAGTTAAATGCTTTCTGGCAATGTAAAGTGAAGGGTACTTTTTTGTGTGCTGGAGTGGATTCAAATTCCAGAGCAGTCACTCCTGACCTTGGCATCTTGGCAATTGTCTCTCTGTCACACTTTCCTTCTCTGAAGAGGAGGATGACAATGCCACTTCTTCCAGAGGGCTGTATAAGGCTGAGAAGTGGTTAGCACAGAGTCTGACACAGAGGTGACCGTGTGAACATCAGAAGAGGTGAAGAGATGTCACTTGATTTGCTGCAGTAATTTTCAGCAGATAACTATCAAGTCCTCAAGGGGGAGCAAGAATTGTCCCAGTGGACATTATTCGGCTTTGGAGGATGCTTTTCCAGAGGAATTGTCACTCAGACTTTAGGTTATTGAGAACATACTAGAAATATATAATCCCTATCTGGGGCAGCTAGCAGTAAACTAAGTGAGATCCTTTTGTCCAGTGTGTTAGTGCAAGTAGCAAATAGAACCACCAGTGACTTAGTATTTACTGAATGTATTCAGTGGTATGATTTGAAATGGCTATGGTAGATACTGTCTCTTTTATCACATATGAAACATTCATTTTTGTGCTGTCTTATAGAAGTTTTATATTACTCCAGTTAAGTATTTCTGTGCATGTGGGGTTTTAACAATTGAAGATGGTGGTCTTATTTAGTCAAATACTTTTTCTTGTATTCTGAAGTAGGATAATCACATTTAAAAAACTTTTTTGTATCAAGACCAAAATAAAACACATCCATCCCCCCAAATAATGAAATTATCTTTTCTTAATTTCTTCTCCTCTGGTTTATGTTTTGTTTTTCTAGAAAATATTCCTGAGAAAGACCTTCAAGGAAGACTTCATATCAACCGTGTTTTTCATATCAGTGCTGAGAGAATGTTTGAATTGCTCTTCACTAGTTCACACTTTATGCAGAGATTTACTAATTCTAGAAATATAATAGGTTTGTCTTCTGTTCTTACCTAATAATGAATTTGGGAGGATTATCCTTAGAGGGTTGAAACTGATGTTGTATATGGGGTGGGGGTGGAGGCATTTGATTTTAAGGTGTTGATTTTAAAACTGGAATTTAAATGTTTGGTTAAAGTCACATGTATAGATGGAAGTTCCTATCCTGCCTGGTCCTGCAGCCATTCAGTCATAAATAAACAAGCAGAGGCTTATTTTAATTATAAACTGTTTGACCTATTGCTCAGGCTTATTACTAATAAGCTCTTACAACTTAAATTAGCCCATAATTCTTATCTATGTTTAGCCATGTGGCTTGGTACCTTTTCTCAGTAAGGCATTCTCATCTTGCTTCCTCTGCATCTGACTGGTGACCCACTCTCTGCATTTCCTCTTCCCAGAATTCTCCTATTTTGGTTGCCCCACCTATACTTTTTTCCTGGCTACTGGTCAATCAGTGTTTTATTAAACAAATACAGTGACAAATCTTTACAGTGTGCAATAGCATTATCCCACATCATACATTTGAACAATATAATTGGTTAATTAGGTAAGTGATACTTAAAGTTAAATTTATACACTTTAAAAAATTGCAATTATTTATCAATATACCTACTCAGTCGAGTTGAACCCTATCCAAAAGGGTTCCATTATGTGACAACTGGATTAATATTACAACTATACCTGGACTCAGTCCTTCCAATCTGAGGTACACATTCACCAGATATGGTGAATGCACTCTGATAGACGCTTGTAAGGATTATGGCAGCATCATTTAGGATCTCAAACACACATCAGTAATAGAGTAACAAATTACATTAAAGTTTCCACTAAAGAATTCCATATACCATTGCAAACAACATTGAAGTCCCACTTATGACTGTGAGTAAACCTCACAGACACAGTGTTAAGCAAAAGAAGGCAGATACAAAGCACACATGCTGTGTAATTTCTTTACAGAGACATGGAATTCAATGTCATCACTGCTATTGTGGAGGGGGACATGGGTAAAGCCTGGGAGGCTGTTCTTGGAAACAATAAGAAGTTTTATATATTAGTTGGAATAGTAGTGCCCATGTGTTTTTTCCTTTGTGCAAATGACAGAGCTGTGCCCTTTTGGCCACAGTACCTATAATATAATGAAAACATATAGTTCTATGGAGCTGATTATACTTTCAGAAGAATTTCACTGTTCATGTGATAAAAGTTCTATTTTGTTAAATATTTCTAGTTTATAGTAAATTTAAAAATGAATTTGTATCAAATGTTTCGGATTTTTTAACATTAGAAGTCAACCGTATGAAATTAGAACACTGTAAGTAGACATTTGTACAGGGTAAGCCATTTGACATGGTCAGCGAATCAATTCTGGAACCTAAGGATTTTTGTCAACCATTAGGTTATTTGAGACTTTCATAAAGACACATACATATCCATAGATAAGATCAATGATATGGAATCCAGGACCAAAAATAAATGTTCTTATTCACAGTAGGGCAGCAAAGGGGTTCTGTTGTTTTGGAATTTTGTGATTATATCCTGAGTTTCATAGCTTTAAGAATAATTTTTCTATTTTCCATTAAAATATGGAGAGTATCTAAGAGATGGATGTCATCCTCTGTCCAGTGGCTCATATTTAACTTACCTGCATCTATGTTGAATCCATCTTGTACTTTGGTATTCATTTCTGTCTGGAGAACTTGATACTTGTGAAGAGTTAGGTATGGTCCATCCCCATATTTTCTAAGCAGTGGCTGGATGCCATCCTGCCCTTTTTATGTCCAGGAAACATCACAGGTTATTAAAATTGGCATGAAGTAAAGTTGCTTTTTGCAGCACAACTGCATTTGTTATCTAGTATTTATTTGGCTTCAACATGGCTGGTTATATCCACTCTCCAGTGTCATAAATAGCTTTGGGAATCAAAGGCTTCCCTCGTAAAGTATGGACAGTTACAGGCACATTACAGGGTGGTCCTGGGATGAGTCAAGAGGCTTTTCTCCAAAGGATAATTTCCTCATGACTATAGTCTATAGTGTTGTTCTTAGAACCCACTAGCTAGTAATCAAAGTGTCTTTCTTTCTTTTCCTTCTCCTTTTCACAATGTGTATGTGTGAGTGCATGTGTGTGTGGAGATGGTTTTCTTCTTCTACCATGTGGGTTCAGAAAATCAAACTTTGGGTTGGCAGGGCTGGTGCCAAGCACCTTTATCTGCTGTATTAGATTGAATGAAAAATGTTCCTCATTGGCATTTGAATACCAGGTCCCCAGTTAGTGGCACTGTTTGCAGAGGCTGTAGAATTTTTAGGAGGTGTAGTCTTCTTGCTGGAGGAAGTATGTCACTGGGGGCTTTGGGTCATGCTATTTTATCATGGCAACAAAAAACCTGAGATATCTCCTGAGCCATCTCACCAGCCCCATAGATCTAATTTATTTTAATAAGGAACTTTTAAATTGGCAGTCTCTCTAATTTCTATTTACAGTTGCACAGCATCATTTCTAATTAAAAAGTCAATTTAAAATATTTTTCATTTAGGTAAATGTCAACCTTCAGAGAAGCTACATGACTAGTAAAATAACATCCATATTTACTTTACCTGGGCTTCTCAGATTTTAAAGTTGCAGTGAAATAAATATACATGATATGAAGTTTGCTGTTTATAAGTATATAGTTCAGAGGCATTACCTGCATTCATCGTTGTGTGGCTATTAGCACATGTAGCTCTAGAGCTTCCTCATCAACACAAACAGAAACTCTAAACCTGTAAATGACAAATCTCCATTTGTTCCTCACCAGTTCCTGAGGGACGACCGTTCCATCTTTTATATTTGTGAATTTAACAACTCAGGCTACTTCATATAAATGAATGTATAAAACATTTGCCTTTTACTGAGAATTTTACACATAACATAATGTTTTCAAATCCATCCACCCATGAGAGGATATCTAGCAGGATTCCACCTCTTTTAAGGGCAGAATTATATTCCATGTATGTATATATAATACCGTATTCTGCATATACATTCATACATTAATGTCACTTGGCTTGTTTATAACTTTTAGCTACTCACTGCCCTGGCAATTAATATGCAAATATCTACTTAAGTCCTCACTTTGATTTCTGCTTACTGTATAGTAGTTGTCTAGAAGCAGATTGTTGCATCAAAGGGTAACTTTGTTTATTTTCTTTGAGGCTCAGCCATCCTGTATTCTAAAATTGTACCAATTTAACAGTCCTACTAGCAATGCGTAGAGACACTAGTTTTGCCATGGAATGATCAATGCTCATTGTTTCTAGTGTTATATAATAGCCACCCTAATGGTTGTAAAGTTTTACCAATTTAAATTGTTTATCAGAAACAAAGATTCTTAAGTATTATGCAATCCCCGTCTTTTTCATTTTCACATTAGCTTCACAAAAAGTGACAATGTATCCTTTTGTCTGTTGCTGTTTTCTTAGAATTCCATTCTTGATGCTTTATTGATAAAGAACTTTACTTCAGTATTGAGGACCGACTCTTCCAATATGATGCTAATCAAAGGATGTTCTGGCAAATAATAATTCAATAGGCCTTGTTGGCAACATTCTAAAAATCCAAGTGTAACATGCATGGGAAAATAGATCTTGATTGTTGCTTTATTTCAATAGTATGGAATTTCCATAACAGGATTCAAGGATAATTGTTGATCCTGTTTCTGATTAACAGTGGATTATTTGTGCTTTTCTGGAATAGGCTGACTTGTGACTAAATAATCTGAAAAGGCACTTTGAAATTAAGTGCACTTCTTTTTTTTAATGAATGCCTAAACATATTATATTTATACCATGTCCTGGATGGGAGACTCTATGGTGTGTGTTGTCTTTTTACAATGGAGTTATAAAACTTTGACGGACACTCAAAGGACTGCTTGTATATGTTTATATAATTCTCAAACTACACCTTTGATTCAACTTCAAGTCTCTGTGTTTGCTCTGATTAGATGTGGTATCTACACCCTGGTCAGTTGAGTCTGGAGGTGATCAGCTGAGAACCATGACCTATACTATAGTCCTCAGTAACCCACTTACGGGAAAATGCACGGCTGCCACTGAAAAGCAGGTACGTCACTCTGTCAGGGCTCCAGAGGAGCCATGTCTGTAGCATGAGAAATGATGCCTGTCACAGGCAACAATGTAATGTATGAAACCGTTTCATCCAATACCTGGCAAGGGACGATAACTGTCACAGGTCAGAAGGGGCTTCAAAGCCTAGAAAGCACACCCTACCACACCTAGTCAAATGGGCCACCTGCTGGAGAGAATTTGTGACATCTGAGGAACTTTTTTTGTCATGGGGCCTTAGAATCTCAGACATGCTAGGCAAGCACTCTATCACGGAGCTGTGTTCTCCAGCCTGCAGTTATATTTTAAAGACAGGATATTTATTTATTTGTTTTTGAGACAGGCTTTTCCTTTGTCACCGTGGCTGTCCTAGAACTCACAGAGATCTACCCATTTCTACCTCCCAATTGCTGGGATTAAAAGCATGTGCCGCCACCACCAGGCCACAGATATTTAATTTTAAAAGTGATCTACAAATGAATTTATAACAATGTAAACTGAAGTATTATGTAAAATTATACGACTGTCTGAGGTGTCTTTGCACACTAATCTAGCACTGAGAAAGGGGGCCTGGTAGAGGCAGAGATGGGCTTACATGAAAAGCAGATAGGGCAGCAGTTAACATGATTGAAGATAGTTTATGAGCTCATGAGCGTTCCCGTACTCTCATCCCCTCTAAAATCTAATTTATAGGATCATGTCAGGGAGCGAGCCAAAGAGCTAGATGGCTGCCATGACATATGGGGAAGCACAGGAGTTTTAAAACCAAATACAAGCTGGCACTCTTTCCCATCACTAGGGAGACACTCACTGGCTCAGGGTGGAGTGTTTGGCCAATCTGAGCAGCAGGATTGTGATTTGATGTTGGGAGCAAACAGCAGTGAACACCTGAAGGTGGTGTGCTGTTGGAGTTTTTCCATCAGTGTCAAAGAAAATGTGACTCCCTTATCTTTCATCACTTTTTTTTTTGTTTGTTTGTTTTTTCAAGACAGGGTTTCTCTGTGTAGCTTTGGAGCCTATCCTGGCACTCGCTCTGAAGACCAGGCTGGCCTCGAACTCACAGAGATCTGCCTGCCTCTGCCTCCCGAGTGCTGGGATTAAAGGCGTGCACCACCAACGCCCAGCCTTTCATCACGTTTTAAGAGACTGTCATATACACAGGAAGGGATGAGTGTTCTGGCATGGGAGAATCTTCTGTGAACTCAGAAGGCAGTCCTTGTTCCCCCAAGGATGAGTAGAAGAGTGGTTAAAATGAGTAAGGTCTACCTGACAGCTCCCCCAAGTCCTGTTTCAGGCAAGCAATATTTTGTCTAGTTGCTCCATGGCCTTGTTTTTTGTTTTTGTTTTTTGATGACATTTGGTTTTGTTAAGCTTTGGTGAATGTGGGAGCTGTGGCCCTTTATTATGCAATTGATTTTTGAATTGTCAATTTAATTTTTAACTTAAAACTCACTCTGGCCAATAAACACAGAAAGATTCTGCAATTTATTTCTCATTCTGTCCCAGCTTGTCATAAGATTTTTGATGTCTTTTGTGTTTGTGAGAAGGAACTTCAGTATACATGTTCTAAATTGCTGAGAACATAGAAATATCAAAAATATGCATGTAAGCATTTTTGTCTTATTTTGGCAGACTCTGTATAAAGAAAGTCGGGAAGCACAGTTTTATTTAGTAGATTCAGAAGTCCTGACACACGATGTTCCCTACCACGACTACTTCTATACGTTGAATAGATACTGTATTGTCCGATCCGCAAAGCAGAGATGCAGGCTGAGGTGAGCTATTGCAAGTGCATGCTTTAAAGTAGGCTACAGTATGCTGTGTAACATTAGCCCTGAATTCTTAGTGTCTTGCCTAAATTAGGTGCCCATCAGTGGCCAGAAGAAGGGTGGGAATCCTGACTCAAGACTGAAACTGATAAAGGTTTTGAAATTCTGGGGGTACATAGTCAAGAATGAGCATCCTCCAGTTGCCACAGGAAGAAAAAGCTGTAGAAGTGCTCACAACCAGTCACATGACCCAGGCTAAGGTCCACAGGGGCCAGAAGTTTCAAGGGAACACATGATCAGCAGTAAGGGACTCTGCTGTAGTGGGAAGTAAAGAATACTGTTGCCTTGATGAATGATGACCATCATAGGCTTTGGTGCTAATTGATGGAGTTAATTTCAACTAGTGTGTGATCACTAGTGATCTGCTACATTTAGAAGTTCATTTAATCTCTCTCTCTCTGTCATACACACACACACACACACACACACACACACACGCACACACGCACACACACCTCTCCACCCTCCCTCCTTCCCTTCCTTTCTTTTTTGTTTTTGTTTTTCAAAGACAGTGTTTTTCTGTGTACCCTGGCCATCCTAGAACTCGCTCTATAGACTGGGCTGGTCTCCAACTCATAGAGATCCACCTGCCTCTACCTCTTGGGTGCTGGGACTAGAAGAGTGAACCACTACTGCCAGCTTACTTTCTTAGCATTTATTGAAGTCTTCATTGTTATTTAAGTGAGGGAAGAATATTATAATTTGATGAAGTAATAGCAGTTCACAATGGTTTTTAAGGAAGAACAAATTTTATTTTATAGAAGTAATGATGTTGGCTTTTCACAGAATGCAAGCTTAGGTTTCATTGCAGTGGGGTAGCTAAAGTAGTCTATGGCCATACTCCCCTGAACTTGCCTGATTTCTTCTGCTGGTTAAAGTCTGTCTCTAAAGAAATATTGTTTCCTTCTCATCCTATTAGAGTTTCCACAGACTTGAAATACAGGAAACAACCATGGGGCATTATCAAGTCTTTAATTGAGAAGAATTCCTGGAGTTCACTGGAGAACTATTTCAAACAGCTTGGTCTGTAAAGTTTTGATGCGTCTGTTTTTACTGAGGTCACATTTGCTGACAATGCGCTGTTCTTCATTAGGACATGTAGAAGGGCCAGGTGCTGCTGCTGGAAGAATGGCTCTCATTGAAGTGGCTTCAGTGCCTTACTTGCTCTGTCAATTGCAGGATTTTAAAATTCAGTTATTGTTGCTCTAACAACACTTACTTAATGATTATTATATGCCATCATATAATAAAATGCACATCATAGTGTTAACATTTCATATTTGTAACAGCCCTGTGAAGTATAGCTATGATTGGTTGTTCCCATTTTACTACAAAAGAAATCAAAACAATATAGTTAAGTGACTTGTCCAAGATCACACACTGCTTGTCCTTGCAAGAAGCCAAGAGGCTGACCACAGCTAGGGATTACAAAACTAGGTTACAGGTCCACTTGTCCTCTCTCACATCTGCAGAGCCATGGGGTCACACCTGCCTTCCTGGCTGCAGCTTTCCTGGGCTTATGTAGGCCCGCTTGGCAATGGTGCTGTGTTTATGTATGGATTTGGTGGGGGTGGGTGCTAGTAGCTGACCATGAGAAGCAATGCAGCTGTTGTGCTGGGATATTTCTTACTATATAAATGAGGGAACACCACACATATGTGGACATAGCTTTTCTGAAGGAAAAGCTGGTGGCCAATCAGCTTGAGTGACTTAGGCTGTATGGTTTATTTTGCTGGTCATTTGTCTTCTGGCTCTTTCCCTTTTGGCTTTTTCATTATTAAACTTCTCATCAGCAACAGAGAAAATGGTGCTTAAACATTAGCTTGGCCACTGGGTAATGAACTTCCGATGAAAAATCTGAGAAAGGAAAGGGTTGAAATAAATGATAAAAATGGGACTTTGAGGTTGTTTGAAGTATCCCCTTGCCAGAATGTTTCTTTTTAAACCTTAGAGCTGCTGCTCTTTGCTTTAGGGTTAGGAAGCACTAGACCCTATCTTGGCAACCTTCCTAATGATCTCGTGGAAATGTGTAGAGCTGCTGTTTCCATAACTGAAGCCATTACGTTAATATTTAATATAGCACATAGCAAGTTTCCACTGATGATCTCATCATTTATTGATACACATTCTTCCTAGAATAATGAAGCCCCATTACAGGGTCATTGTAGTCTCTAAAGCTTTTAATTAAGAATAAAGTTTGAATCGAGTCTGTAAAACCTAAGATATGGTTAGAAAAGATTGCCTAGGCTCAAACAAGCACATCGGTGCTTGCACACGAGTGGGCACACACACACACACACACACACACACACACACACACACACACACACACTACTTGTGTCTTATAGTTGAGAAAGCTTCCTTCTTATCCTATTGTTTTAAAATTTTCATCATAGAATCAGATTTATTAATGGAAGAGTCTGTGTTAAATCAATCCATTGAAGACCCTGGAAAACTTAGTAGCCTACGACGGAGAAGGCGGACTTTGAACCGAACGGCGGAAACAGCCCCTAAACCGTCTTCTCAGCGTTCTCCTATAGACGTGGGCTTTGAGGCCAAAGGGGATATTACAGGTAGCTTTCCCTGCTAAACAGACAAAAGATTTTAGCCTTAGAATGCATGAGGTGCCTCTTGTTGATGAAGAATGTCATTTAAGGAAGTCTGCCTTCTCTCCTTTTGGATGCCATTTATTATACTTGGAGTTTCTTAATGACAGCTACTATAGAAGTCTAAAGGAACATTTAGGACATGGCAGGCATATGGCCAGTAGAGTATTTTTTTTTTTTTGACCCACAGAGCATTTAAAAGTTTTAGGTTGGCCATACTGGTATGTGCCTTTAGTCCCAGCACTCAGAGACAGGCAGGCAGAGCTTGGTGAGTTTGAGGCCAGCTGGTCTACCTCATGAGTTTCAGGGCAGCCAGAATTACATAGTGAGATTCTGCCTCAAAAAGAAAAAAAAAAACGATATTTAAATAAAACCTCAAGTCTGATGGCCCTGTACCAAATCACTTCAAAACAGCAGTTGGTTGGGGCTGCTTAGAGCTGCCCCTTCAGCTGTCCAGCTGGCTACTGTCCCCAGTATGATTCACTAAACCCAAGCTTCTGGGCAGCTCACTTGTTTATTTCCTGCTTAACACATGCAGATGCCTGATGTTTAACTCTGAGTGTACTGTTGGGGGCTAGCCTAGGCAAACTGCAGAGATGGAACTTGACTTTCAGTTTTGTAGACTCCTTGTTATTACTGTCAACCCCCTCACAGGTGTCAATCCTCCATCCTATCCCATTATCAAACTCCCATTAGACTTTTAGCTTTGTGTAACTATGTCTAATCACTGATTAAGATCAATGGCTTTTTAACTTTGAAATGTAAAGGTTTAGGTCACAGTGATTGGTCATTGTTTTTTTTAAGGAGAAAAACACTATATATTAGATCAACTCAACTGTTCTTAGCAGAGATAGCACATAGCTATATATCATGTGCTATGTGTTAAATTAGTTAATTTCATAGTAAATTAATTTGTAACATATCTCCAATTTGAAGAATTGCCATGGGTTATCTCCTTTTAGGTTTGTTTCATATTCCAGTTAAAAAAAAAAAAAAAAAAAAAGCTCAGACAGAGACTTCCCCCTAAATCATTTTGTCTTTACAAAGGACATATTTTTTCAAGTTAATTTCAGATGATTATTAACTTTCAACAGTGTTCCCAGTCCTCACTCTCATCTTTCACCTACAGGAAAGAGAAAGACGGTGGACAGCTGTGACGCTGTTCTGATAATGGTGATGAGTGTCTTGTGAGTATTTCTTGTACTGATTGGTTTATATCTTCATTTGTTTTTAAATAGTTCCCAAAAGAATTGGAACGCTTTGTGGTTTTTCTTAAAAAGTGATTTATTATTTTATTGCATTAGTGCTTTCCCTGTGTGTCTGTGTGTGCAGTATCCATGGGGGACAGGAGGGACATGGATCCCTCAGAACTGGAGTTACAGAAGGTTGTGAGCTGCTACGTAGGTGCTTGGAAGAGCAGCCAGTGTCCTTAACCACTTAGTCATCTGGACAGCTTCCGCATTTGTGTTTTACCAGTTAGAAGTGGTCACTATTGACTATTGTTGACCTATAAAAGCAGTTTTACAGGTTTTGGTGTGATAGCTTTTGATGTATGATTTTTCAGAATTGTAAAATTTGAGGGAATATAAAATATATACTAAGCATTTTCTTAAAAAAAACAATTTGACTTATTTCTATGAACTCTGAGTTTTTATGGAAAGTTCCATAAATTTAAAGAAAATACATGTTGCTAAAATTCCAATAAAACTATTCTACCTTGCTCAAATAGATCAATGGTTCTCATGTTTATATGAATAAGAATCATTTAGGAGTTTGCTAAAATGCACATTTTTCAGCCTCGGTCTCAGAGGTTGATTCAATAGATTTTCAATAGTGATCACGAATTTTTAAAAAATTTAAAAATTTATTTTCATGTGTATGCTGTTTTGCCTGTCTATTTTTCTGTGCACTGCATGCATGCCTGCTGACCATGAAGGCCAGAAGAGGGTGTTGGATCCCCTGGGACTGGAGTTACAGACAGTTGTGAGGAGCCATGTGGGTGCTGGGCATTGAACTGGGTCTTCTGTAAGAGTAGCTAGCGATGAGTTTCAAGCACACACTCTAGATTATTCTGATATGAGTGATCTAAGCATCACATTGTGAAAAACATTAGGCAATTAGTTTGAAGCTTAGGGTACACTACAAGAACCCATCTAGCAAGTTACACCTTAGAGCTCTGATGCTACATGGCTGCGTGTGAACTTTGAGGGAGTCCCTTGATTATATGAATGGCTCTGATTCAGTGATAGACTGGGTGATAACATTTGGGATAAAGTTCCTAGCTGTTTTTTCCTTACTACCGATTTCAGAACAAGCAGAAAATACTTGTTATCCTTATTACTGTTTGTTGTTTCTTGAGATAGGGGCTTACTATGAAGTCTAGGCTAGCTTTGAACTATCTCATGATCCTCCTGCCTCAGCTTCATTTATGCTGGGACAGCCTGCATACAGCACTGCTCCTGAGTGCTGGGGTTAGAGGCATGCAACACCACTGCCCGAAAATCAGTTTATTTTTGTATGACAAGTATCATTATGCTACATTTATATTCAAATATACACGTGTGTGTGTGTGTGTGTGTGTGTGTGTGTGTGTGTGTGCACATGCATCACTTCAGTGCCATGATAACTTCACAGGTTTGATTTTCTTGTTACTTTTTAACTCTTTCACACACGATATATATCTATATACTTTTTCTGTTTGTGCTAAGTGAGCACTCTACCACTGAGCTATACCTTCAGTTCCAATAGTTCTAATTTGAAGCATGTAAATCTTTTAACAAAACAAAGTAAGTAAAGACATATGCTACTACTTACCAGTTTGTATACATGTGTAATGAGGTCTGTATTAATTTGAAAGTCTGCCATTAAAAACAAAACATTACATTTGCATGTAAAATTTATATTTATTATTATTATTATTATTATTATTATTATTATTATTTGGGTTTTCAAGATAGGGTTTCTCTGTGTAGCTTTGGAGTCTATCCTGGCACTTGCTCTGGAGACCAGGCTGGCCTCAAACTCACAGAGATCCGCCTGCCTCTGCCTCCTGAGTGCTGGGATTAAAGGTGTGCGCCACCAACGCCTGGTCTATATTTACCATTATTAATATGTTGGATTTATCTGGTACTTCCTTTGTTCAAGATTAACAAGAAGATAGTCTTGCCGAATACACACACACACACACACACACACACACACACACACACACACTTTTTGCTTTGATTGGGAATAAAAGATAACATTATGATGTCCCTAAAATCAGCTGCATATTGGTCTTCATTTTATTTTTGAAATGCAGTATTATGAGTGTGTAATTGCTTAAGCCAACATAACCCAAAAATAGACCCTGAAAGCTTACCTGGTAGATTTCTAAACCAGTAGCTGCCCAGCACTAGCTGGGATTCCAGCAGAGAGGAGAGGACAGGGATAAGAGGCAGCCTGTGAGTTGAGGTTGTTGAAGGACTTTTCTTACCACCCTAGTCATTTCTTTGGCATCCATGTAATACTTGAAGGTAATTATTTTATATAATGAAATGGGGATAATTTACTTAAATAACTAGTCTAGATCATATAGAGTTGGAAGCTTTTGCATATATATATTATTTTACCTTCTGCATTTTGGGTGGTTGAAGGGGTGTGTTGGGGTGGGTCCAGCTTTGTGTAGTCTAGGCTGCCTTGTGGTCTTGAATCACCATAGACCCTCCTGCCTCTACCATCTGGGTGCTGGGCGACCTCTGCAGCCTGCAGTGCAGGTCAGTGCTAGTTAACCAGCTGTCATTCACTCTCCACAGTTTGCTGTTACTAGTTGTGCTGAATGTGACATTGTTTCTGAAGTTGTCAAAGATAGAACATGCGGCTCAGTCCTTCTACCAGCTCCACCTCCAAGAAGAGAAATCTTTTAGGTAAGTTTTCCACCCCAGCCCTGTCTGTTTTACCACCCGTTTCTTTGTCAGATCTCTATATCTTAGTCATACAAGCTTTGTTTTTGTTTGTTTGTTTTTTTGTTTTTCTTTTTTGGAAAGGTGGTGGTAGCGGGGTTTGATTTTATGTTTTGTTTGCAATCCATGGGGCACAATAATTTCTATAAACAATAAGGCCAGGAGCTATTTTCATGATTTTTAAGATTTTCTTTTCTTCTAGTTTAGCCTCTGATAGGTTCTCAAGTACAGAAAATATTCAAAAGAACAAAGATCAGGCCCACCATTTAAAAGGAGTGCTCCAAGATTCCATAGTGATGTTGGAACAGGTAGGTCCTCAGCTGGGCAGTCTTTAGATGGGCCTTCTCTGCAGTTACTTAGTAACTCTCTCCATCCACTTCATCATTCTCACTTCGCTCTTACATTGTCCCCTCAGTGGATGACCATGCCTTATAGACAAGAGAAACCATCCCCCTTTCTGCTATAATCATATCTATAAATTGTCCTGTCCTTTGTGACTACTGCTGGGAACATTTTGGCTCAGCATTCTGTACTCCATGCTTAGCCTAGCGCCCGGCATGAAGCATACACCAGGCTTGTTGAACGAACGGATGAATGAATACAGTGAGGAATAGGAGATATTCTTTGCTCTCATGTTGCTTCCAATTTTATTAGATTAGTCAACTGTCTGATAGGTTTTCAAATCTGTTTTTGAAAGTACAAAATTAAGTAGGATAGATGTGTGAAGTAGTTCAGAGGCAGGGTCTTCGGGGAAGGTTCTACAGGGTCGGTAGGTACAGGGACGTTTTAGAACTGTGAAGAGGATGTTGGATGGCTTAGCCAGGCTCAAGGTGTTCAGGAGAGATCGAAAAGACCATTGAGCCTTGAGAAATATCTAAGCAAACAGCCTTTGCCTTTGGATAATTAGACTTCTTGGAAAATGCAGGCCCCTCTTACCCGGTAAGCATGCTCTAGAAGTCATGCAGCAGATATCAGGAGAAACAGATATTCGATGGTCAATGTTTTTTTTTTTTTTTTTTTTTTTTGAGCATTAAAAAAAAAAAAACCCTTTGGAGTCAAATAACCAGTAAAAATTGAAGTCTGATTTTTGATTAATCTGTTTGCAGCTGAAGAACTCACTCATTATGCTTCAGAAAACCTTTGATTTACTAAGTAAGAACAGGACTAGGGTGGCTGTGGAGAGCTAGTGCTGAGTTGCAGAAATCAAAGAGACACCTGGACCTAGAAGACAACATCTGGAAGGAAACCAAGGATGAAGACTGTCACTCTCACAGGGACATTCCTGATATTTTTATTTTGAATTTCTACTAGGAAAACCTTATTTAAATAACATTTACTTGGTGATTACTCTCCAACAGCCTTAAGACTCTGTCTTTTCACTTTGTATAGATATTTCTAAGCTGTGAATTTCTCCAGTGAACCATGAAATATACTTTGGAATTGAAATTCTATGACACAAAATGGGAAGTGAGACACCTGAGCATGGTGGCCCATTTTCTGTGCTGAAGCTTGTAACCTGACCCTTTATCTGTTAGCACACAGTGAGCCCCTGTGTGCCCAGTGGGCTGTGTTCACCACTGAGTTTAAGAGCCTAAAAAGATAAGAAGAAAGCCCTCCATCATTTCTCACTTTATAGGATCATTTTCTAGGCACATAGATTCCAGGTTTGTATCTTTAAACACTACAGTCTCTTCATTGAATTGGCATGCAAAGGCAGTGGTCAAACCCTTTGAATCTCAGTGTTGTCTGAAAGATTCATTGGCTGTGTTGTATCTTAATGAAGGAACAAACACACACACACACACACACACACACACACACACACACACACACACACACACACACACCCCACAGGTAAGATTATTCTTCATATATCAAAGACAGGGAAGTAATTTATGAGACGGAAGTATGTAGGATACCAATGCTCAGAATGAACTATTTTTAGTTTTAGAAGCCAGAAGATTATGATAAAATTTGGGCATTTCATGAAAGACCAAATGAATCCATGAACTATGCTTGGGTTCAGCCTAGCAGTGCCTATGGTGGAAGTGACCCATCTGATTGAAAATAATCTATGATTTTTCAGTAACTGCTATAGATAGCTTCATTCTTTATACAGGTATGTAGCTTGCATTGTTGGAAAAATTATAAGCTTTACTCCACAATAAAGACTGTGGGGTTCTTGAGCTCCATAATACAGACTGTGGGGTACATGCACACTGACTGAAGAGGTGCAAGCTTGGGCTTCCAAGAAAGCTACTCAGGCATTTGCCTCAACACAAGTGGTTTGTGAAAAAAAGGACTTTGTAACCTGACTTGAAATCAGCTCTGACTCCTAGAATTTATGAAAGGTTCAGGGCATATTTATTGTTTTGTTTTCTACAGGTCTGTCTTTGGAACTTGCACATGCAAACACAATACATACATACGTCATACATACTGTTTTGAAACAGGGTTTCTCTGTTTAGCTCTAGCTGTTCTGAAACTTGCTTTGTAGACCAGGCTGGCCTCAAACTCACAGAGATCTCCCTGCCTCTGCCTCCTGAGCACTGGGATTAAAGGTGTGAGCCACCACTGCTCGGCATATATTCTTATCGTTTGAACAACCATTAACTACCTTTAGTGAAATTTTCCCTTTCAGTGTCACCAAAGCCAAATGGCATTGCTAACATTTTTGAAATGCCTGTAAGGAATGAAAATACTGGCTAGAGGGAAGTGGGTTTCTCTGGATGAATCTCAACTAATCCACCTGGAGAGGGGCGGGGTGCAGAGTAGTAACTCTGTTTTGTTTGCTTTTGTTAAGGACATATGAAGTTTTTGGCTGTGAGCAAGAATGACTTAATTAGAAACTTGAAATTGTTAAATTTAGAAAAATGTTAACTGTCAAAGTGAATGTTTTTGTGGTTTCCCTCAAACTACTTTATAATATACCTCAAAGATTACCAATGTTGCTTTGCAGATAAAAGACTAAATAGGTATGCAGAATTAATAGTCTGAATCTGTTATGTAGTCTGACTTCAATAAAACTCAAAATTTCTTCAATTGTAAGTTTTCTTCTGTTTCTGCTTAAAAACCAAAACCAGATTTAGAAAGCCTGAACTACTGAAAACCTGTAGGTAGGCCTACAGTTCTCATAGATTGTGTGTGTGTGTGTGTGTGTGTGTGTGCAGCTATAAAACCCAGAGAGGATTCTCTGGGCAATTCCATTGCAAATGCAAGCAAAAGTACCAGAGGCCTGGCTGGAAAGCAGAGGCAACCCTCAGGACTCAAGAGCTTGAACAAGTTGGATAAGCCAGAACTTGGGAGCAGCAGCTGATAAAGGGAGGGTGGGCGACTTGTGGGGTGGCACTCCGGAACAAGGTGGTGCAGATAGAACCCAACGCCTGTTGCGGGCGCAGGAGGACGGTTGGTGGCCGGCGAACTCCCGC